CTTTATGACCAATCCTCACATTTATGACCTTCACAGGTCTGTAAAGCAAAGAAAAGCTGAAGATCATAAGCACAGTCACGGTTTCACTTAGCAACTGCTTCGCTTAACAACTGAATAAATTTTCTTAGCTCAGGTGAAGTAAAGCTCAAATGATTCTTAAGAGTTCCTAGGCTAACTCAACATTTTCCATACCCAGAACACGATTAATTTTTCTTCAAGCAATATTATGACTAACCTAGATCTGATCTGCAAAGATCCAGACAACCACTAGATGACAACAAAGTGATAGCTTTCCGTATCTCTTTGCTGCTCTCTAGTGGTATTGATTTTGCTACCAGAACTGGTAGCTCTAGGCAATGTCATATACTCTCATTTCCAAGAAGGATAGGTTAACCAAATAACCTTTTGCCAAACTTTGCCTTATGTGAGTACATCTGGAGGGAACATTCATTTTGAGTAAATACAAATCTGAATACATATTTCCCAAAACAGGGAATACATTTCTTATAAATTTTCAAATCATAATTATTAATCAATTATTATTATTAATTCAGCATCACTAACTGCAAACCTGCAATATATTCTTTTAATCCACTAAAGCTAATTCTTCTTATTAGCTTCTTCATTCATATTTGAAGCTTACCACAACCCAAGCAATCCAGGGAAGCATTTGCCTTTTGAGCTGAAAAATACCACATGCAACGTGCAACCCTGAATTAAAGAATCCCAAATCTGTCATTCAGAATGTGATGGGGAAACTGGGCAGATTTCAAAATGTTGACCATTGGGACGTATCTTCTTCTTCAGTGCCAGGAGCAATGTTCAACTACACTTAAAAGACTTGAGAAGGAGTGTGTGTGTGTGTGTGTGTGTGTGTGTGAGTGACTTCTGGCGACTGCCTGGACTAGTCCATGCAGCTTTCTTGGGCTGAGAGAGAGGGACTGGCCCAAGGTCACCCAGTTGGCTTCTTGTCTAAGGCAGGACTAAAACTCACGGTCTCCTGGTTTCTAGCCAGATGCCTTAACCATTACAGCAAACTGGCTCTCTAGAAGCAGTTACTATTTCTAAAAGTTTGGATATTTAGCCATGAAAGCAAATATGGGAAAGCTAGCAAAGGCTGATATAACCCCTTAATAAGAGGGAGAAAAATGTGAAGTGCCTTTCCCGCTCTCCTCTATTCTCTGCAGCTCTCACCAATTGCCCCCCTTACCACTGGTGGATCAAGGCAAATATCATGCTAAGTCCAATGGGGAAATTGTTCCTCATGCTCAGACATTGTTGAATTATAGCTACTCTCTCTCTCTTTTTCTCTCTCTCTCTCGTTTTCTGACATTGCTTTCTTCCTCCTGCTCTCCCCAGTAGTCTACCAAGAATAGGATAGATTCCTGCTGCCAGGGGTCTGAGAAGGGTCTTGAAATTGGGCCAAGAGCAATAGAAACCATGGCTACCCATCCTATTCACCCAAGAAAAAGATTCTACCTTCCTCTGATTTTGAGATAGATCCCCAGATGCAAATCAAACATTTATGATTTCTCACTAATTGCAGCAGCACAACAGATAATACTGCATCAGCATTCTATCCCCTTATCTTTTGAACACTTAGATTTGAAAATGCAATTTGAGTGTCTGAGTGAGGATACCTTCTCAATAATTTCCTCCTGATGCCTCTCTGTCACCCCATTGCTTGGAGTGGGCTCTTGTCTGCTTGAGCTTTCACAGCATGATACTCTTACTGTGGGCCATAAAAGTTATTTTTTATGCACTGACCCAGTTACATAAAACATGAATGCCTTATTTCAGGGAGAAAAGAAAATCTTTGGATGTATCCTCTCTGATCATTAGTTTGGCATTTTGCAAAAAAACCCGGATGACTGTCTTTGGCATCAAATAGTGGCATCAAATCATGTTGTCTTGGAAGCATTTTTTTTTTTTAAGTTTGAAAGAACAACTTCACAAAATAGTGATACACAAAAAGAAAAGTTATATTCTTTCATTCATCATAAATATTTCAATATTTGCTGTCACAGACTAAGCTGACTCCCCTTCTGCCTTAAATCGTTGGCCATCTGGACAATAATGTGCTTGGCAGTGGCTTTCTTTGGTTTCAAAGTACTCTTATCTTCTTCCATAGCAGTCACAGGGAACCTTTGGGCTGTGGGCCTAATTTGGTGCTTTCCTATCCAGCCTGCAAGACATTTAGGGAGGCCCAACCCAAACCCCAGATCCCTGCTTCCTCTCCCCACATTCTGCCTCTAGATGTCCTGTCCTATCCTTTAACATAGAAAGAGAGAGTTGCCATGGTTTGAACTTGTGATTTTCTGCAGGTAGAGCATGTACTCTACTGCCATGATTTCTCTTTTAAAAATGGCTGCCAGGCAGTTGAGGAGAGCTTGAAGATGAGGATTTTGGTGTCAGAGCCAGGGAGAAAGATTGGAGCTGTCATTCTAGAGTGAATTTTCAGGGTTCGATTTGTGGGGTAGGAGGTGAGGAAAGTATCATTGTAACTGAGGTGGTGAATCTGTTGTAGGCCAAGACTTATGCATTTTTAATAACTGAGTAAATCTAGCTACTCGTGTCAGAGCAGCCCCAAAGGAAAAGCCCTTGGAATACTTCAGTACTTCCCAGGCTTCTTTTTGTTTCCCAAAATGCCAGCAGTGGCATAACCAGCTGACCCACTTACACACTCCCTTCTCCCTACGAAAGGATGAAAGAAAGGATGATATGTATTACTTCCAGGATTGGAATTAGAATGTGGCATC